CACTCATCTTAAAGTGGCCAAGTTTGGACAACACTGCTTTAAAGGGATGATAGAACAGTCTGAAGAATATACCTTTAGCCAAAAAGAAATGTAGAGAAATGGGCCATGTCTATAGACAGTTCCAGGAAGCTTTTACGTCACCTGCTTCTGGGCGCGATATCAGGAAGTAGCTCATTTTTTAAAATATGGCCCCAGGAAGAAATGCTTTCAGATTTTCTCATTCAAGTAAGAATGATTTCTCAACTATTAAAATTACCATTTTTTCAGTATCCCTGAAATAAGATCTGCCTTTGACTCCCAAAGGAAGCCTAGCTTTCTGCACGGTTAAGGAATCCTGCATTTTGGGTTCTTTTCAGGTGAAGATGTCTATGGTTCTTTAGAAGTGTTCCAAAGTTGTGGATGTATAAATGGATGGAAAAATAAGTGGGGTGTTACGCTTGGCCAGAGAAACATCAAGACTTAATTGGTTCAACTAATGAAGTCCTGAACTATGGCTCCCTCACAAAAACATCTTCTGAATTGAAAAGCTCTAGTAAAAACAGTAGAGACCCAAATCAAAACAGACCCTTCAGTCTGTTGTTCGTAAGTACACTGAATTTATTGTAGCATCTGGTAGGCATGATCCTAAAAGAAAGCCATCATTTCAAGCATAGGGAAAATCAGAGGTGAGTTGTAAGAAGCAGGACCTGGTATTTGTGATTTCCAACTATCAAATCTGGACGCAACTGGAGGAATATTTGCCTCAAATATTATATGCCAGTAAAAGGGGATTATCAAGCCTACTCTGTGGTGGTGGAGGCCAGAACATTCTTTTCCCCATCATTTTCTCAATGCCATCCAGCAGAGCTTTTTGAAGTGGTTAGGGGACTTCTGGGATTTGGTCCTGCAGATGACACAAACCCCTCAATGGTTTGTTGTGATATGCCGGCATTGACCTGCGAGGACAAAGTGGTCCCGTGACTCTACAGCTTAGGTAGTACAGTTTAGAACTCCCCAGGATGCTGTCTGATCCAGTTCTCTTGAATGACTTTGTAAGGCCTGAGGATGTAGACCAGTGTTTCTCAAACTTGGCAACTCTTAAGGTGTGTGGAATTCAACTCCCAGAATTCTCCAGCCAGCATGGAAATTCTGGGAATTGAAGTCCATACAGCTTAAAGTTGCTGAGGTTGAGAAACACTGATGTAGACAAAGAGTTTGGAAGAGTTCAGCCAACCTTCTCATTGCTTAGCTCATGCAGGAGGGGGTGCTTAGATGGGTCCAAGAGGTAAAAAGTCTTAGCTTCTTTAAAGAAAACCAGTTCTGGGGGAAAAACCACTCAGAACTCAATCATATGCTGCATCAACATCCCCTTCTCTGGATAAGGTATTTAAACAAGCAGTAGTTGATCATATTCAGACATAATTGAATCAATAGATTTTTCTAGATTTCAGTATAGGTCTAGTCCAGGTTTTGGTACTGAAACTACCAATCCCCATTCCACTCCCACCCCTTTCTGGGTTGTGCCATTATGGATTTTTTTTTTTTAACTTTTACTCCAACAATAAATAAATAAATAAATAAATAAATCTCCAGGAAGTATGTTGGAAAGTCAGACATTTTTGAAACAGCTGGGAGGACTGAAGAAACAGCTGCCTAATGACTGACATGAAAGTGTGAATTCACAGTGAGAAAGATGAGAGAGCTGGGTCAGACATCCTGTGGAAGCAGGCCAGTAAGAGATTGGTATTTCTTAGGGGAGGTTCACAGCATAATTTCTTTCTGCACAAACTAAACTGATCCTGCTTTGTACTGTCAGGGCAAAACAAGCATCTGTCAGCCAAGCTCCAAAATAACAATAGGAATATCTGCAAGAAATGCCATTTGCCTGCAAGAACTGGTGGGATCACAAAACAGACAAAGTAAAAGAAAATGAAGACGCTAAAGTGCTCTGGGACTTTAGAATTCAAGCAGACAAGCACCTGCCACACAACACCCCAGATTTAACAATTGCTGATAAGAAAGATAAGAACATCTGGATAGTGGACATTGCAATCCCTGGAGACAGAACAGAAGAGAAAGAATTGGAGAAAATCACGACACAAAGACCTGCAAACAGAAGTAGAACGACTATGACCAGAGAAAGCAAAGATAGTACCAATAGTTATAGGCACCTTGAGTGCAATCCTAAAATGTCTGGAGCACCACTTGAAGACCATCAGCATTAACAAATCACCATCAGTCAATTGCAAAAGGCAGCTTTACTTGGAACAGCTTGTATCCTGCGATGATACCTTTAACACCATCAAATATTTGCCTATCCCAAGTCCTTGGGAAGGACTCGATAGGTGGATAAAAATGCCAAATCCAGTCTAAACATCTGGCTGTGTTACTAACCTTCATATTTTTTTAAAAAAACCTTCAGAAAGGATTGAAAGGAAAAGTGGGGCAACATCAAGGGAGAAATACCCCTAGAAGTAAAGAGGGTGATAGATACCACCCTAAGGCTGTGTTCTTCATCAAGTGAGCAGCTTCTGTTTGAAGAAAGTCTGCTGTACACAGCAAAAGGGCCTTCTCTCAGATTATCCCTTACATAGCATCAGACAGTGGCACACAAGCATGCGCTGAGTTCAAAAGCTTTATTCCACATCCTGTTTATTCCTGCCCCACTCACACCTGCACTTACACCCTTGGACACTCCATGGGATACCAATGACAGAAACTGTGTGTTCTTAGAAAGTTTACAAATGGTTCCTCCAACCATTGGCGCAGCACCAGTCTTGCCAGGCCTTTGGTCAGAGACAAAAGAGGAGAGCTTTCCTCTGCAGCTTCCAGCCAGAGGGCTGGCAATTGGGCAACTTAAGCCTTACTTACCTTATGAAAGTCCAAAAGCCCATCCACTACTTTTTCTAAGGCAGAGGTGGAATTAAAGTGCTCCATCAAAAACATAATTCATTGGGAAACACAAACTAGCAGATATGTGAGGAGTTTCCCTCTTGACTGGATTCCCTTACTTCATTTGAGAGTGCTAATTAAACCAACTTCTGAGGGAATATTTTTGTACCAATGATTGTATATATTTTACCTCTTCACTATGGTCTTTCTGTATTTCCTCACACAAGGTCATCTGTCCTAAATTAATTGCAGAACTCTGAACGCTGCATATTCACCAGAGCACATCTTTTACCTTTATATCCCTGCTCAGGTAGAACCAATAGTTCTTTAACAATTTTGGGCCACAAATTCTAAATGTAGAGTTGTAGTTAAAATGAAAACTAGAGTAATTCTGTACATGCAGATGGAAAACTTCAATATCCTCATGGAAGTTAACAGATTGAGAATAGGATGTAAGAAGCACTGTTGTATACTTCGCTCATACCTCAAAGCAATGTAAAATATTTATTTGTAAAATCTAATTGATTTTCAGTTTCTATTCTGAAATAAAATCTTGAGAATTTCTGAACTTCTGAAACTTCAGAATACTTAAATGGCTGTCTTGTTTGTAAATTAATGTGGGCAGAGAAAAAGTGGGGGAGAAAGTATCAGAAAGGTGGTGGACAGTAAGTTTAGCAAGTACCTGGATCATCTTTTAACTGATAAATGCAGGAAGTTGCAAGAATAAACTGACCCCCAATGAATCACAGTGCTACATTATGTTGTGAAGGAAAGTGCCATATTTTGTCCTGTTAACAGTGCATCTACAAGGATGTGCGTTGTGCTACCACTGAGTTTCTGCATTATAGTAATATAAATTAAGTTTAATCTTTGCACATTTCAAATAAAAAGCTTGTTTTGGAAACACAAACCTTTTTTTTTTCTAAAAAAAAATAAAAATAGACATATATTGTTCATTTGTAAATTATGTGATATTATGTGATGTACTGAGTCCAAGGAGTCAGATAGTAGAAAATCCAAGTGAAGGTTTTCAGACAAAAATATAAATAGCATTATTTTATTATAAATAAAAAGTTTGTCTTGTGGCAGCAAATTTGTTTTTAAAATATTCTGTATATCTTTTCCTTTTATTTCAGTTATGGGGCCCTTGAACATTTTGGGGATTTCTCAGAAAGATTTTCTGGAGGAAACTTGACCAGTAATATTTCTTTTACCTCCACACAATACAGTGGGGAAGCCCTGGGTGTCCTTGGGGTGGAAAAGTTCAAAACCTTCTAATTTAAATTATGCAGGCTAAGTGCTTCAGTCTTTGCAAACTCCCACATTGGAATACTGACTCAAGAGTTGGCAATATTCTTGTCCAAATGTTACGTTCATATTGAGCCAGTCAGAGAATAGCCATGGGGGACTTTTGTAGTGGAAGGACAGTTGTTAGTATTCTGAATTGACTTGGATGGAAAGAAAACAAGGCAATGTTATTGTTAGTGGAATGTTTTTACATTCTTTAATGTATTGTTACACAGTCTAAATAAACAATGAAAAATAAATGACACACAGAGGAAGGGAAGGCTTCTTATTAGCTATGTTTATTATGCCACGGCTTAAGCCGCTCTGTACAGAAAGCACCCAGCTGCTTTAAAGCTACTTGGTTTACACTGGATTAAAAAAAAAGTTTTAAAATGAGCTAGAAATGGTCCTTCTATGGCAGGGGGGCAACTGGCAGGGCCATTCCCCCACTATGCTACATAGCATGGAAAGGGAGAAGGAAGCAGGAAGCAGCAGTCACCAATGGAACACGATTCTGTCTGCCACTGTTTCCACCAGCAATATTTACAGCCAGGAATAACTGGAATGTACAGGGTACAAGGAGATAGGGCATACAAAGTAAAATAGATAGTGGACTGCTGGGCCAGAAGTCTTCAGGAGAAACAAAGTATTTCATATTACCTCAGTACCTTTTATGCCAAAGTGAAGCCCTCGGTATCTGTGGTTGCTTGAAGATTGTGCAGTACCACAGGGGTAAAACATGTGCCATTTATGAAAATGTAACATAGATCAAAGACAGCCTTAGACAAGATGCAGGGGAGACAGTAAGGGCCAGGCATAAAAATACAGAGTGGCTCAGAATACTCTGGAGACTAGAAAGTCACCAGGGCTACAGCTAATATTAGCGGAAGCAACTCAGGAATTCAAGGGGGACCGGAAGATGGGGAGTGCGGCAGAATTTAAGATGAATAAATTAACCTGGAATGTGACGAAGTACCAAGTTTGAGGGTGGGGCTGCGGGGCTTAGTTCCCTGTTCAACAGAGGCAGGACTGTGACTCGACCCTCTGGACGGCAGTGCCAGTGAGCTAATGTGTACCCAGTACACAAATACAGTGAGCAGAATCCCATCCCAACACGGTGGGAAGAGAGGTGGCTGCTCAGCCCAAGAGACAAAACCATTCCAAGGAAGAGCAAGGGGTACAATTTCTCTCCGTTCCTTCAGCCCACGACCCATAGGAAGAAGAATGGCACACAACAGGACCTGATACTGAATACATTGTAAAAAATAAAAAGCTTAGAGTTAAATGCAAGGTTTATACAAAAAGATTTCTTGTAAAAAATGTTCCCCAAAAACCTAGTTGATGAGACAACATGGGAGGGGAAGAAAGGGCCGGCCTGAGTTCCATGGCAGTGTGGGAATGGTGAGGCCATCCTTTCCCCTCCTAGATCAGGCATTAAAAAAAACTTTTTACACTTTAGTTTTTTCTTATAAAAACACATTTATGGGGAAACGAGAACCCCAAGGCTGGCACAGGCCCCAATGGGGGCCACAGAGGGACCTAGGCCTCTGGGATGTGTTTCATAAGCAAGCTCCTCATGCAAATACCTGCATTTTAGCAGAGGGCTCTGCTGAAGGAAGTTGGGTGTGACTTGGCCCTAAGACAGTTGGGCTGGGTGTGGATTCAGACCAGTCAGACAAGGAGTGTGGTGAGGGACTGCTCCATTGCTCTGGAGACTCTGGCGAAGGAGTCAGGTAGGGGTGCTCACTGGGAGGGTGAAGGAAGTGCTTAGGTGTTGCATCCTGCCCCTGCGTGTAACTGTGCTGCGAGGGTGGTGTCGGATAATCCTCCACCCCTGCTGCCTTTAGGTATGGTGGGGGCCCTCCACGTGGTGGTGCCACCTGACCCTGGCCCTCTTGGGGTGAGACAGGTTGGTTAGTGCGCACTGTGGCTGTCGGTGGAGGCATGGGCTGGGCAGCTTCCTTGGACTGTGCTGGAGCTGGGTTTGGCAGGCCCTGAGAGCTGTGCCCCATGGTCATGTGGTTAGGCAGAAGCAATCCTGGTGGGAAAGCTTGGCCAGACTGATGCAGGTTGGGATGGGAAGCAGCAGGGTGCACCACCCCTATGATGGGTTGACACTGAGAAGTGGGAACACGGGCACGCCAATCAAAGGGCATGGCCACAGGGCTCACCATGCCCAGACTGAGCCCCATGCGGCCGGGTGGCACAGAAAGGCGATTCATAGAAAGCAGAGTGCCATCCCCTAGGTCGCTAAGGCGTGCCAAACTGACAGCAAAGGGTGCCTCCATCATGCCATGGACCATGGGAGTAGAGGGTACTGACAGTGAGGCATTGGCTGTGTGAAAGACCCCAGGTGAGGCAGGGTTAGGTACATAGGGAGAGTCCAGTGAGTCGACAGGAGACAAGGTGACAGAGCTCTCCAGGAGAGAGCCTTGACACTCCAAGTTGAGCTTCTTGGCACGTGCCTTGGCCTCTTTGCTCTCCCGTGCCAGGCTGGCACTGTTTCCTGCTGTCACATTCTTGGTGCTGGGCCGACGGCTCTTCTTGCCCTGTGGAGTGGGCTTCAGGCTAGGTAAGAAGCTATTGGGAGGGCACATGAGAGGGGAGAGAGAGTGACCGGCAGGCAGGGCTCCCTGTGGGCTACGCACAGTGTTGTAGTCATCCAAAAGTCGAACAATATCATGGTGCAAGCGCTCCTGAGCCACATCACGTGGCAGCCGATCCATATGGTCAGTGATCTCACGGTTGGCAAAATGATCCAGTAGGATTTTGGCTGCCTCGTAACTGCCTTCCCGAGCTGCTAGAAACAGTGGTGTCTCCTCCTATTGCAGAGAGAGCAAGTTCATGACCACATTCAACAAATAGTTAGCCTAGCCTTCACTAGTCTGACATTCTCAGAGTACCAGAATTCCCTGCTAAATATGGCCAACAGCCCCTGAGGGCACTGTCTAGATGGCTGATTTAAAGTAACAGCAGCTTGTGACTATACAAATAACTCTCTCCTCAATACCCCCATATACATTTAGGACAGCTCATCCTAAAGGAAGCCACCAGGTCAAATGGAAAGACATTTTCAAGGGTACCTTTTGGGATGCAATGAGTATAAACTATTATTTTTCAGCCCAAAATGGAGAAGAGAGGAAAGCGGGGTTGGGCATCCATCCACCTGGTGTGAAAGCCTAAGCCCTGCGTTCTCACTATAAAAGATGGGAGTTAACCCTTTCCTGTTAGCCCCATTTTTGGTGATTGTTATGTGTGATTTTTAAAAAAGCAGAACTCACCTTACTGTCCTGCATGTCCTTGTTGGCCCCATTCTTTAGCAGAGCAATTGTAGCCTCTACATTATTGACAGCTGCCGCCCAGTGCAAGGCTGATTTTCCTGGTAGGAGTGATATCAAGAGTGATATTTGTCACTTGCTAATGATTCTCAGATTCTTCTAAAAGCCTTCTACTATACCACCTTTCCTAAATTTTAAGGAATTATTCTCTTTCAACCATGCCAGATTATCATCTTCCATATTGCCCATTAACATTGGGCTTTCTATATATTAAGAATTTTGGAAAAAATTCTTCCAGCAAATCAGCTGGATTTATAGCCAAGAATATACTTGGATAAAAACATCAAGAACTGTGGACTATTCGTTGCAGGGGGGAAATTAACCAATTTATTTATATAAGACTGAAAGGATACATCTACTGGCAGAATCTTTTGTGCGTAGTGTTTTTCAGTTTATCCCTATGTATCAGGTCCACATTCCACTTCCTAAGTAACAACTACAAGCCATCTCCATAACCAAAGTCTTCTCATTCCCATCACATATTCTGCTCTCACCCTCCCCCAGCTGCCTGCACACAGCTTCTGTAGCAGCCTGAGTCATACAAAACTCTCATCAACATGTGCTAAAAGACCTAAGGGAGGGAGGGGTAGCCAGATTAGAAAGCAAGTGTGTGAGAGAATAAGTATACATTGAATTATTGGTGCCTTTATTAAATCAATCTGGACAATCTTGTAAATGTAGTTATGAAAGGGTTACCTAAGAATCTAAATTAGTGGAAATTAACAGAAAGTAGTCAAGTTAAGAAACCTTGTCCCAGACCTAGCCAAGCTGAGGACCAAGCCAATTCACTCTACAAATTACATACCCAATTCGTCCACGGCATTGACATCAGCATGACAGGCGATCAATTCCTCTACCATGCCCTCAACAGCTAACCGTGCTGCCAGGATCAGTGCAGTTGAGCCATCCCCCATTCGAGCATCTAAATCTGTAGATCGATTCCGGATCAGGATCTAACAATAGTAGTACAATGTTAGGTGGGAGAAGTGCAAACTGTGTCATTCAAAGTAGCAAAGTAATACTGTCTGTAATACTTATGTTTATACTAATACTATTTGGTTCATCATCAGGAAAGCTAGGGATGACTTTTTGTAGTATCTCAGAGAGGTAATAGATTGATGACACCCAAACAGTTTCTAGTTTGTGACATTCATGGTAATCCTGCATTAAAAAAGAGATCCTGTTGTGCTCTTAACGTGAGCTAGCATGAGGATAACAGCAAAATGGTTGTATTTCTAGAATGGGAAAGGCTCCATTGGCTCACTCACAGAGTGAGTACACTGAATGGGCAAGGCTAACCTGGAAGACTCCTTGGGCATCAGCAGTCACAGCAGCATGAAGCGGGGTACGCCCTGTGTTGTCTTGCGCATTGGTATCAGCACCAGCATCCAGCAGACGTTTGGCAGCATCTGCCCGGGCATATCTTGCAGCCAAATGTAGTGCAGTCTCCCCTGTGCGGTCTGTCTGGGCACTCAGGTTAGCCCCCTGGCAGATTAGGTCTGAGATAATGTTGGCAGAGGAGTCATCTGCTTCCTCTTCCTCAGCCAGGTCTGTCTCCATGCCGCCACCGCAAAAGGAGGCCAGCATAAGTGGGGTAAAACCATCTGTACGGAGAACACAATAAAGGATTACTTTAAAATAGTTTGTTGTTCACCGAACTAATATAATACTAATTTATTAAACCTGTATGCTACCCAACTCTCAACGACTTCGGGCAGCTCACAACATTCCAACAAAGAAATTATACTAATAAAATGTTTTGTTAAAAAAGAATAATATATGCTAAAATTAGAAGAGAACATGCGAAGTTTTGTTACATGAGAAAGAAATCCTGGGCCAATCAAATGTTGTCTATAGAGACTCCACCAGAGGGCTTGGTGTATCCATCTAACGCTGCTGCTTCGTATTACCTGGCCCACGGACATTGACATCCATGCAGTCGGTGTCAAATTCACCCTGGGGTGGGGTCAGGGCCATAGATGGAGGCATACGGATATCTGCTGCCACCAAGTGGTGCTGTGTCCATTGTCGGCAATCCACTGGGTCTTCGCAGTCTATGGCTGGCTCTTCCACCTGGCAATGAAGAACACAAGCCTGATATTGATCACAGAAAGTCACACTTCCTATACAGATTCTGCATTACATAGTATCATTACTGATTGCAGCGTCCTTTTTTGGGAAACACCAAACAAGTTAGGCCACCAGTAGCTTGGCAGAGAACTGTGCATACAGCATTGCCCAGACTTGAAAACCAGAAAGGGGAAAAAAGTGAGAGGAGGTAGCGGAATAGTTTGGAATATGAGCTGGAATACCTTTGCAGCTCCGGTTCTCAAGTCAGCCAAAGTCTCACAATGAGCAGGCAATACCTTAAGACGCTTGGCCTCTGGGCATTCTGCTTCCAGCCAGTCTTCCGAGCTGTCTGGTATCAGGCTCTCCCCTTTGCCAATGTTCCTGCAAGGGAAAAATAGGTGCAGTGGAATGTGATGCCGGAGCATAGCAGACAATGGAATCACACCTCTGGCTATATTCCAACCATCCACCTGCAGATACATACATGTAAATGAGGGAGAAAGGCTTTTGCTAACAAATCAAAGCATGGCTAGCAGCAAAGTGCAGTTGAAGAAAGCAGCAACTGACTATCCTTTGCAGCAGAGGCAACCTACTACAGCTACCAACACTTCACAGAACAGCCACAAGCAATGGGAGTATACCATGCAGGCCAGTGAGCTGGTAGAAAAGGGATGGAACTCTTCTCCGCTAGCCCTCTGGGCTTCTAGGCTTGCTGTAGGAAAATAAAAATCTCTTCCTTGACAGTCTACGTAGCAGGAAGGAACAGAACATTCTGCCACAGTAAATCTTTTACTTAGTGGGCTATTAACACAATTTGATGGTGAATATCCCTGAGGGCTCTTCCTTTAACAAGGCTCTGATACAAAGATTTGAGATTGTTCCTGGGTAGCTCTTGAATGAATAAGGGCCCCTTACTTCATGCCCAGGGCATCCTGACCCACAGGCTCACGCCGGTTCTTGTTGCTACTCTCTTTCTTCAGACTGAAACCTTCGGGAAACCAGAGTGTGCTATGTTCTCTTTTACGCCGGGCCACCAACACACCCAGTACCAGGATCACGAGGAGAATGAGGGCTGCCACCACCACCAATGGCAATAATTTGAATGGGTCTGGGGTGGCCCATTCTTTTATACCTGCAGAAGCAATATATCTGTGTTAGAAACGTATTGAATACATGCTCTTGATTGCAAATAGAACCAGATGAAATGTTGCTTTCATGAAGCATCTTTTCCATCCCCCTGGAGAGAATCTCACCTTTCACGGCTTTGAGTGGATATGGAAACTCTAGACGCTCTACTGCCGAGAGGGCAGCCAGGTAATCAGCGGCACTTTCTGCATCAGGGAAACACTTGTTTGAGGCCTGGTAGCAAAGACGGTTGTCAATCTCAAGGGTAACCTCAGACCTGGAGAAAGTGGCAAAGGTTAGAAGGGTCTCCTTTAGCATCACAGAGAATTATAAGGAAAGGCAAGTCAGCTACCTCTGCACTTCATTTTATTCTCTGTTCAGAAGTACATGGAATGGCCTGACTTGACACATCTGGAAACATTTCCAAATGTGCATTATGGATGAACTTGCGCTTAAGTTATATTAATCATTTAAAAAATTGAAACGCATTATAAGTTCCATCTCCCTTTACAAAAGGCATGCCAACCATTTTATAACAGCAAATCTATCCCATTTGTTCTTCCCTATATACTACTGTCTGTTTAATTATCATTAACAGCCTTCTGGTAATCTAGCACTATCTAAGAAGCTTGTTTTAAAATAGTTACTTAAAAAAGCATAGCGCAGTTATTAACCATCAGATTTTATAGGTCAGGCAGGGACAATTGGATAAAGGTGGTCCTATAGGCAACTGGACCCCAAGCCATGTAGAGCTTTATAGATGAAATCCAGCATCTTGAATTGGCACTCTACAACCCAGTGGCAACTGGGGTAGCTTAAGGAGCAGAGGTGTCACATGGGCAACCTGAGGTACACCTGCAATTGCCTGTGTAGCCATATTCTGGACCAGTTATAGCTTCCAAGTGATCTTCAAGGGCAGCCTCATCTAGAGCCTGTTACAGTAATCCCTCTTAACGACTAGGGATTATAACATACAGGTTGTCCTAGTTCAGCAGCCACAATTGGGACCAGCAGCTCTGTCATGAAGTAAAGCAGGTGCTAAGTGGGAAATCATGCGACCACAATTATGCTTTCCTTTTCCCCACTCCCCCACCCTTTGGAATGCTCACCCCAGTGCTGGGATAATTAGCAAGAAGGGAATTAATATTTGTATTTACATTCATTGGAGAGGAAGGGATTACAAGAGAGTAAGCAGGCACACAATGGAGAATACGCCGGGCTGTGACTGGGCTGTTTGCATAGTGCGCTCCTTACAATGTGTATTCCCCATTGTGTGCCTGCTTACTCTCTTGTAATCCCTTCTTCTCCAATCTCTCTGCTCTAGGGGACGGGGGGGGGGACGGGGGAGACACAGGAGAGATTGTGTACAGAAATCACTTGTCCCCCCCCCCCCACAGAGCCGAGAGATTGGAGAGGAAAGGATTACAAGAAAATAAGCAGGCACACAATGGAGAATACGCCGGGCTGTGACTGGGCTGTTTGCATAGTGCGCTCCTTACAATGTGTATTCCCCATTGTGTGCCTGCTTACTCTCTTGTAATCCCTTCTTCTCCAATCTCTCTGCTCTAGGGGACGGGGGGGGGGACGGGGGAGACACAGGAGAGATTGTGTACAGAAATCACTTGTCCCCCCCCCCCCCCCCCCGTCCCCTAGAGCAGAGAGATTGGAGAAGAAGGGATTACAAGAGAGTAAGCAGGCACATAATGGGGAATACACCGGGCTGTCACTGGGCTGTTTGCATAGCATGCTCACAGCTCCCAGCCCCAAGCGCGCTCCTTTCGATGTGTATTCCGCATTGTGTGCCTGCTTACTCTTTTGTAATCCCATCCTCTCCAATCTCTCCTCTCTGCAAGGGAGGGGGGGAAACAATAGGTCGGACACAGGACAACATGTACTGACTGTAATGGTGATCACATGACTGAGGGATGCTGTGAGGGCTGTAAATGCAGGCATTGGTCATAAAGTTATTTTTTCAGCACCGTCGTAACTTTGAACGGACGCTGAATGAGGCAGTCGGTAAGTGGGGACTACCTGTAATACATAATAAACTTAGTTATCCTACTCTCAAAACCCTTCTTTTTCTCTACCCACCTACATGAAACTCACCCAATTATTTCTTGGCCCAGTTCCCTGCGTTGTCGTCTTCCAGTTCCATAATAAGGTTTGATCATGTAGTTGCCATTCTCATCAACACGGAATCGCAGGGAGGTCCTTAAAATGGCACTCAGCTTCTGCAGGAAGACGGTGCTTGTGCGGAGCAGTTCATCAGGGTGCAGCAGCACGGTGATGATTAAAACACCATCTGCCAAGTGCTCAGGCACTTCCCGGGCACAATCTAGTCCATCCCAGCCACATTCTTCCTTATTACAGCCTTGGTCACAATGCCCATCAGCAAAGTGATCTGAGCAGTATTTCTCATAAATAGGGCTGTCAAAAGAGGAGGAGATGGAAATGTAACATTTGCACCAAAACAAATCCTATAGTAACACAAAATATCTCCTTCATTGATGGAGAACCATAAAAAAGCTGTGGGGAATGTCTTTCTATATGTGTCACAAAACAATCAACTGAGACTCAGATCAGGATTAGAATACTGATACAGCTCCCCCTCCCCCAAATAAAGATATCTAGAATAAAGAGGGGGAAAAATACAGTACTCCCATTTTGAACAATGTCTCACTCTCTCATTCAGTTATTCTGGCAGGAAGAATACATACTCTTAGTTCTAGGGAGTACTAGGGAAATATGACCTACAGGTTCTTCTTCAAAGATGAAGGCAGGACTCACTTGCAGCTGCGCTCACGGTTCTTGCAGTCAAAGTTATCATAGAGACACTCAACGGTGTTGCAGAGTTCATCACACTGACTATTGTTGAAGTACTGCCAGCACTGAGGGCTCTCACACTGCTTCCAAGGATTATCCACCAAAAGAGAACAGTCACCTCCATCCCAGTGACAAGCTGGGCTATTGCACATCTTGTCACAATAGGAGTCCCCTGCCTTTGCAGTGCACTCTTCCAGTGGGCAATGGAGCAGAGGTGGCCGCACTGTGCGTGCAGTCTGACAGCGAACACCTGTGTAATCGCCGAGACAAAGGCACTGGAAATAAGGGGGAGTGGTGATCTCATGGCAGGCACCTCCATTCTGGCAAGGCAGACTCGCACAACTGCTATTGGCACGCAGACGACAATCAGGTCCAGCCCATCCAGGTAGGCAGTAGCAGTGGGCACCTAGAGCTGAAGTCCGGCAGCTGCCACCATTGAAACAGAAGAGTTCTCGGCAAGAGAACACACTGCGCTCACAATTGATGCCTGAGTAGCTCTGAAAAATAATCATAAGAGTTAATAAAGAAAGTCAAACAAACCAGAAACCCACCAACTGCTGGTCTAGCATCAGAGTAATCTCTGGTAGAGCGTATCCCTTCTTGCATCTGTCACTCTGGCAAGAAAATCCTTTCCCACCCAAAGTTTAAGACTTAAGAATCATATTCTTGTACCCATAATGCTCTATATTTCTCTTGTAGGAACTATAGCCAGAGCCTCAACCTCTACAGTATCACACAATTATGTAATTGAATTGTTTTCTAATACTCTCCAAACAGAAATAGTATTCCCTCTCATGATAAAATGTCAGTTTCTTAGCCAGAAATTCACACATAGTACAGCTTCAATGTATCCAGCTTAAAGTCCTTCCTAATTAACTCTTCCTTGCCCCGTCTTAATTCCTTGTAATGTTTGTCTTCAGGGAATGTGTTATGATGTCATACGTGCAGCTCTGCTCTAGGTACTTACCCGAGGGCAATGGCAGGTATATCCGAGAGGCAAGTTTACTGCCAGCTTACATAGCCCACCATTCTGGCAAGGCTGAGACTCACATGCATTCACAATGTTCTTGCAGTGGCGGCCTAAAGAGAAAAAAATGTTATTCTGCCTATGCCACTGGAAACTTTCCAGGAGAACACCATCACCCTATTAAATTTGACCACACATCTTAGTTACCAGCTTCTGTAGCTGACAGCCTCTCCTTTCACATAAATGCCTACTGAGTTCTTTCAACATCTACCTCCCAAATGAGCATATTCTTTCCCAATAAAGTATAAGTTACAAAAATATTCAACCTGTTAGGCATAGCTACTTTTCTCTTATCAATCACAAATCTTTCCAAGCTAATAAATAGATCCATGTAACAATCATCTAATTAAATCATAGGCAAATTATAACATTTCATATTTTGCTGAACCACAGCTCCCAAGATTTCTAAGAAACCTAGCCTAGGAACTGTAGTTCAGCAACATATGAATTCCAGAGGTTGTCTCTCTGTGATCGCCATCTTATCACATGTATCCCCTATCATGAAACTGTAATGGCCTCAAAACTCTGCAAAAGCTATGTATTTGTGATCTTAGAAATGTATATGTAACGTGAGTTACAGAATACAAACAAAATTCAGGACTCAAGCAAATGGAAAGTGATGCTGAGAAAGAATCTACAAATGGCTATTTATTTAACAATTAATTTGGAAATCCCCCACAGAGCATAGAATGCAAAGCTTTCAGTTTGAAAAACGCAAAAGAATAACATACTTCTTTTTTCTTTTTACTATCAACCAGATTGAGACAGACCAAATAAAAAAGCAAACCAATCACAGTTGGAGTTCCAATAGAATAAATATGTGATCATTTAAAAACAAAGTTGTGCCAAAGCTTGTCATGAAGGACATGAAAGGATGTGTAATAATTCATGACTCATGAGACTCCAGAAAAGTTTAGGTAAAATGTACACACATTTATTCATCTGCTATTTTGTTAAAATAAATGATCAATTACTCAAACAAATAAAATGTTTTCTCATGACACCCTCATCAGAAGACCTGAATGCTCATTTTGTTGTTTTTGAAGCTGAATAACCAAATAGGGACTTTCCAAGAGTCCTGGGCTCTTAGTGAACTCTACCACTGTTCAGTAAGATGGATCTATTTAAGAACTACAAAGAGAGAGATGTCATACATTGTCTAAAATGAACTACCTGAAATAGCCATTAGCCTAGCCACATAGTTCATAAATGATTTCACACAATTTGCATGCTTTTTCCTACTGACATTTATTTTAGCCTGGCTCCCCTACCCACCACTGTAACCCAGCTCCTTACCTCTGGCATCCATTACATTAACGCTGTTTGCACTCTCACTCACCAGTGTAGCCTGGCTTGCAGATGCACTGGTAGTCACGGGCTTCTTGAATGCAGTCGAGTGTGTTGCGTGGGTGGCAGTGGTTGGACTGACATTCATTTATATCTCCCTCACAACGCTCGCCTGTAAAACCTGGTGGGCAGCTGCAGCGGTAACCACCCACTCTGTCCACACATGTCCCGTTGTTCAAGCATTTGGGGACACGGCTGTTAGGATTCAAGGTACAATCATCCTCATTTATTTCACACAAGACACCTAGAAACAAACAACAAACAATCACACCAAACATTTTAACACTACGTACCCCAAACCTTCTTTTCCCATCTCTTGAACTGCCTGCGATAAGAATAAATTCCCCATTCTTAAGATGAGAAAACACAACCTGGGGTATTCAAGGTATATTCAGTTTTAACTCCCATCAATGCTACTAATGTGACCAAGGCAAGGGATCCTGCTTTTGTACTTCAAAACTTCAGACAGCATTAGGCTGCTTACTTTAAGGCAGTGTTTCCCTTTTTAGTACCTGAGGAAAATGGGTAGGAAATCTATGGCCTTCCAAATGTGATTAGATTACAATTACAATAATGTCTGATGGTCAGCCCTGATGGCTAAGGGCTACTGGGAGTCTACATTCAGCAACACCAGGAAAGTCACAAATGGCTCATCCCTGTTGGAAAAGGGCCAGTTCTGAGGTTGTCCTCTTTCAAAACAAGCCCATATTCTCCATCAAGTGACTTAAGGAGAAATCCAGGGCTCCTCTTCACACAAGTAAATGAAAGTCAGAGCTGCACTGGCAAAATCTAAAATACGTTCCTCTGTGTCTTATGTTTTCCACCTAAGAAGACCATGTTTCCCATATGACAAAGATGCTGTTATCCCACTTCACAAAAAAGCCACGTGCTTACCTAGTGTTCCTGGTGGGCAGGAACAAATGTAGCGACCAGTGAGGTCAATACAAGTCCCACCATTCTGGCAGGGGTGTGATTGACATTCATCAATATCAAATTCACAGTTTTTTCCCTCAAAGCCTAGTGGACACTAAAGTGAGAAAAAATAGGTAAAGATAATAAGAAAGGAAAATATTCTTAAAATATACTTTCAAGGTATATCTTATCCCTTCTTCATTAAATCAAGAATATTAAATAAGACTTAGAATTTTTAAAACTATTCCAATATATATACATAATATAGATAATAGTTTGTCTTATAAAGTTGACTATAAGGTACAGCAGAACAAAAATATACATTGGGGCAAAAAAGTATTTAGTCAGCCACCAATTGTGCAAGTTCTCCCACTTAAAAAGATGAGAGAGGCCTGTAATTTTCATCATA